GTCTCCTGGGACTCCATGGGTCGATGTCTCCTGGGACTCCATGGGTCATTGTAGTTATGGGCAAATGATACCGAGCCTTTGGAGCTTGTGTCACTCTTCCTGAAGCAGAGTGATTCATAACATGTCGGAGCTTGCGCCAAACACACCGTCACATGGCAAATGATGTTCGAAGCTTCGGACGTCGTCACTGCTTCATTTCACTCTATAATGACTCAGAAAGTTTCAAGGTGTTCTGAAGCAATGGCAGTTTTATGATGCATTTTTATTCCAAAAAAAGTTATGAGGTGATAGAACTCACTGGGTTGTTGTCTCTTTTGAGTTGTTGACTTCTGGGACTTGTTTGGTCATTTTTTCTCTGAGAGTCATTTAAGTTGTCTCCTATGACTAGTTGGATTGTTGTCCTCTGAGAATTGTTTGGGTTGTTGTCTCTTGTGAGGTGTAATTGTTTCCTAGAACTGTTGGATAAAAAAATATCCTCTATTCATCTTACTTACTCAAAGAAGCCACATTCAAGGACACAAGAAGATATTTTAACCGGTTTTACTTGCAAGGGCAGACTTCCACTCACAGGTTTACACAGATGTACAAGTTACTTGCTTAGAGCCTCGTCAGTGAGAATCTGCAACCGGACAAGAAAACAGGAAGTGTTTTTATACTGCTTCAGCTCCTCCTACATACTGGTGCCTGCAGGCTTCTCTCTGAGAGACAGGAACTCTCTGACCTCACACACATGGTAACATGAGTTTCAACATTAGCAGTGATTAACATCCATAAACATTTACCTAAATTCCCCTGACAAGAACTCATTGGGTTGTTTGTCTGTCAGACCTTGCAGGCTTGTTGTCTTTTGGGCCTTGTTGGGTTGTGGCTTGTTAGGGCTGGTTGATTTGTCTTGACTTTTTGGGTCATTGTTTCTTGGAATTTGTTGAGTTGTTTTCTAGGACACATTGTCAGGAGTCATTGGGTCACTGGGTCAGGAGCTATTTGAGTTGTTTGGGTTGGAACCTTTGAAACTTCTCTTTGGATCTGTGGAAGGTATTCCAGATATCCTGGATGACTTTATGAAACTTGCTCTCTATTGCTCTCTTCAAGGATTCAAGGTTTTTTATTGTCATTCACATCACGTGGTACATAAGACGGAACGAAACTGTGTACGCAGGGTCCCAGTTTTTTTTTTTTTTTTTTTCCATTTACCCTTTTTTGACAGGTAGTCTCATTGAGTCACAAGAACTCATTTAAAAGAGAGACTTGTTTTTGGGAGCAGATAGTGGGGGTTAAAGGCCTTGCTCAGGGGACCAGAGTGGGGCAAATGAGGGTGGAGGCAGGTGTGGGTGTTTCACCTTTTCCACCCACATTTTGATGTTGTCGGTACCAGGAGTTGAACCTGTGACTTTCTGATCACAGGTCCATCTTCTCTAACTTCTGCGCCACCACTCCCTTTCATCCAACAAAAGTATAAAATTTAAAAGAAAAACAGTTATAAGATCTAAGATATGAACTAAGAAAAACGTTAACTAAAAATACACTAAGCACCAATAGCATAAAAACAATACGCCGAACATGAGTCTGTGTGAGCAGATGATCACGAATAAACACAGCAACATGAGACAGATCAGCAGCATGATGTGATTTTTCCAGTGATTATTCTGGTTAGAGATTCATGAGTCTAACAGCCTCGGGGTAGAAGCTGTTCCTCAGTCTAGTGGTTCTACACTTAATGCTCCTCAACCTCCTTCCTGAGGAGAACGGGGCAAAATGTGTGTGTGTTGGGTGAGTGGGGTCCTTCATGATGCATGTGGCCCTCTTCCTGCATCTGGAGGTGTAGGTCTGTGATGGTGGGGAGTCTGACTCCAACAGACTTCTGTGCAGCCTTCACCACTCTCTGCAAAGCTTTTCTTTCTGCAGCTGTGCAGCCTCCATGCCACACGATGCTGGAGCACAGGATGCTCTCCACTGCACACCTGTAAGGAGGTGAGGACTGAGCTTCCCAGACCAGGCTGAGGTTCTGCCTCAAGTGGATGAGTTCAAGTATCTTGGGGTTTTGATCACGAGTGAGGGAAGAATGGAGCATGAGATTGACAGACGGATTGGTGCAGCGTTTGCAGTATTGCAGACTCTGTGCCGGTCCATTGTGGGGAAGAGGGAGTTGAGCTGTAAGGCAAAGCTCTCTATTTTCCAGTCGGTCTACGTTCCTACCCTCATCTATGGTCACGAACTCTGGGTAGTGACCGGAAGAATGAGATCGCGGATACGAGCGGTTGAAATAAGTTTCCTCTGCAGAGTAGCTGGACTCTCTCTTAGAGATAGGGTGAGAAGTTCAGTTATCCAGGAGAGATTCGTAATAAAAACGCCACTCCTTCAAATCGAGAGGAGTCAGTTGAGGTGGTTCGAGCATCTGGTAAGGATGCTACCTGGGCACCTCCCTAGAAAGGAGACCCCAGGACACGCTGGAGAGACTACGTCTCTCGGTTAGCCTGGGAACTAGAGTTGCATTCGGGTCCAAAAAATACGACCCGGCCCCAGTCCATAGCCATCATTTCCAAACCCCACCCAACCCGACGAATTAACAGTAATTACAGGTCCAAACTTGATCCCCCCCCCCCCCCCCCCAATATTATTAAGCTTTGACTGCTTATATAGCTATTAATGATAGGTGGACGTGCGCGGCTGAATAAAAGGGGCGGAAGATCAGAGCTGAGGGGGTGTTTGTCTTTTCATGGCCATCAAAGCACATCACATCCCTGTTTCTGCCTGCATTCTGCATTATTCAGACACGGACCCTGCTCTGACATGTCTGTGAGGATATTTTGGGATCTCACCTGTTTGGGTCGTCGGCCGCGCACGGACGTGCATGCTGAATCTTTTTTAAAATACACCTCCACCTTCTAAAGTAAAGAACAAAGATGTCTCATTAGTTTGGATGTCGTTCTTTAACTGAACTTAAAAAAAAAAAAAACTCTTTCAAGGCCAGACAGCGCGTGGTCAAATGGGGCTGGTGATTATATGGCAAGCCATGTTGCTATATAATTGAATCGTCAGCCGCGCACGTTCACTAACGCAATCAAAAGCCCGACGCCGGCCCGGCCCGGCCCGCACATTAAGCACGTTATTATGGCCCGGCCTTAATCCAGGTCATGCCAGTCGGGCTCCGGGTTCGGGTTAGAAATGACAGCTCTACTGGCAACGTCTTGGAGTCGTCCCAGAAGAGCTAGAAGAGGTGGCTGTGGAAAGAGATGTCTGGGCCTCCCTGCTCAAGCTTTTGCCCCCGCGACCCAACTTTAGATCAAGCGGAAGATGATGGATGGATGGATGGATGGATGGATGGATGGATGGATGGATGGATGGATGGATGGATGGATGATGGATGGACTTTATGATCGTGTGGTGGTCAGTGTACGTCTCAGAAACGAGATTCTTGTAGTGAACATGAATGTTTGTAGTTTGGGCAGATGAGGATGAGCTGCAGGTGAAGCTGATGTTTTAACTTCAGATTCTCATGTTTGTTTGTTTGTTTGTTGCAGCTCTTTGTCCTCAGGAGGCAGAGTCTGCATTGGAAGCCACACAGTTCTTCACAGAGGACGAAGCAGGAGGTGCGAGCACGCACGCACACACAGCACAGTGTTTGTTTCCTCCTGCTGTCCCACTCTACAGAAACTGGACTTTGATTAATAAGCTCTATCTGCTGCCTCTTTTTCCTCCTCCGCTTCCTGATGTTTCCTCTAGAATCTTCCTTCTTGTCTGATTTGGACACTTTAAGGCAGCAGGATGTGCCATCAGGTTTGTATTTTTTGATTTAATCAAACCTGCGCCCTGTACTACGAAGCAGGATTAGCGTCTCATGGAGGTGGCCTCAGATTGAGTTTGGGGTCTTCAGTCCAAACTGAATCGTGTGGAGTTCAAATCAAATCAGTCGTAAGGACTGAAACCTGACTTAGTTCTTGGTCGGCTTACCAAGTTTATAAACGGCTTTATAAAACTACTAAACACGATGGCTTGTTAGGATTAATTAAACAAGATCTCTTAAAGAAACTCTGGATATGTTAATTCTGCTCTGAAATAAAGCCACCTGCTGTCACATGATTTCTCTGATGTCTGATCTTTCATGATTACTTTTTTAGTCCGGTCACACCCTACTTCCTGTTTTTCTGCTTTTGATGATGATTTTTTTTTTTCCTCCAGTAGGTGAGGAGGTCAAGGATGAAGAGGAGAAGAAAGGTAAATTCCCCCCTCGCCTGTGTCAGGTGTTCTCATCTTTCACATCTGTCTCACCTGCTTCCACCTGCGTGCTGTTTCAGAGGTGAAGGACTACAGGTACTATCTGAGGATGTGGGCCAAAGAGAAGGAGCCCAAGAAAGAGACGATCAAGGATCTGCCAAGGATGAACCAGGTGAAGTGCCTCACAGGGCAGCAGGTACAGCTGAGTGTGACAGGTGTGTTTACTTGTGTGTTCACCTGTGTGTGTGCAGGAGCAGTTCATCGAGTTCTGCAAGACTCTGTACAACATGTTCAGTGAGGAGCCGTCTGAGCAGGAGCTCTATCACGCCATAGCCACCGTTGCCAGTCTGCTGCTGCGCATCGGAGAGGTCGGGAAGAAGTTCAGCAATGGCGGCAAGAAGCCAGAGACTCAAGCCCCGCCCATCCACCCGCAGCAGGAGGAGGGGCCCGGCGAAGGAACGTCAGCTGAGGCGCAGGTGTGCCAGGCTCTTGCCGATGCTCAGCTGGAGCTGCCGGTGCCACAAACATCCGATGAGGAAACCAAAGACGACACGTCGGTGTCGTCTTACTCGGTGGTGAGCTCCGGCTCGCTGCCGTGCGAGGACATTGCTGACGACACTGTGCTGATTGGTGGCGACCAGAGGCAAGGCAGCTCGCTGGATGCTGATTGGTCCATCACCTTTGAGCAGGTGCTGGCATCGCTGCTGACAGAGCCGGCACTTGTCGAATACTTCGAGAGGAAGACGGACATTCAGGCCAAGATGGCTTCCTGTAAGGCTCAGAGGGTTGTGGAGCGCCAGATAAGCTCCGCCTCTGAAGCGGAACTCGCCCAACATTCCACCTGATCACTTGTGTCTACCTCTCCCCATATAGGTAATTAATCAGTTAATCACATGCACTAAGTGTTTGATGATGTCATTCTGACAGAGACTCTGACTGGCTGCTTGGTCCAACACAGTGGAGCTGATCATTGACCTGTGACGTCATCATCAAGTGACTTCCTGCAGGAGTTTCTCACTAAAAGCTTTTAAAACGATGAATTCATTGGCTTTTATTGTGAAAGACAAGCAGGAAGTATTACAGTATTAGTATTTGATTCATTGATCTCTAGCTACAAGTCTCTGCAGCACCAAGTGCTCAAGTGAACACACCTGCAGACACCCTGCTGGTCACATGACCCTCAGTCAGCTGATTCACATTCTTATTGTCACTGTTTTTAAGAACGTAATGACTGAAAGAAACGTGTTCAGTGTTTATTCCGATTTTTATTTTGAACTGTTTTTTCTGCTTCCTGTTTCTATTGCCTTCACTGTTAATTTGCCTGCTTTTAAGTCTGTTATATTGATTAGATATTGATATGTACTCCGATGTTCTAATAAAAACTGATCTTAAAACATAAATAACATCTTCCTGTAGGGGCGTCCCTGTGTTTATTTATAAAATAAACTGTATAAACGAACAATAATCAAAGTGTTGCAATAAACATAAAGGAAAGTAAATAAATTAGTTTCTCACCTGTTTTCTTTATTTAGTGTAATATTTGTCTTATTTTGTAAATGTTTTTTGTAGGTCTTGCTCTCCTGTCGGAAGGGGGCGTGCACAAACTACACTGTGACGCAATTTATGACGTAATGTTTTAAACACCCGCCGCGAAACGAGCAATCGAGCAGCCGAACCAGAACCAGCTCTAAAGTTGTGTTCAGCCAGCACTGTGTCCAACATGGTGCAAGAGTTTCACGTTGTCAGGTGCTTCAGCTGTGAGAGCTTTCAAGTCCAACAGGTAACCTTTATAAATAAGGTATTAACCTGTTGAATGTATGGGGAAAAAAAAACTACCGGAAGTTCCTGAGCTAACGCGCAGCTAACGGCTAATCGGTGCTATCAGCTAACTTGGAATATTTTAATGATCCGTACAAAGTATTGGTCAGTCTTTTTCTCTTTTTATGATATTTAGCTATATGTAAGATTAAGGTTGATGGATTATTTTTATTTAAAAAAAATCGTTTTCTGTTTTTGTGGGCGTACGGTAACGCCCCTTGCATGTGAAAATTATGTAATGTTTGGTTGTCAATATTTCTACGGACACATGCATAGATATTTTTTTCTTTTTATCTAATTGCTTCAACATAAAATCAAGTCACACTGAAACCTGGTTCAGGATTTTGATCAGGTTTAGTCTGTTTGATCATGGGGGTTTTGCCCTGTGTTTTGTCTGGCAGGTGAAGAAGGCCAGGAAGTGGACCTGTAAGCTTTGTGGACAAAAACAGTCGCTGCTGAAGGTCAATCAAACATATTGATCAAATGATACATAGGACAGACAAGTGAACAAGTTACACTGTGGTGCCTGTTTCTGTGTGATCTCTCTGAACACAGATGAAAGACATCTTCACTCAGACCACCTTCAGAGGCGGTCCAGGATTTTATTATGTTCGTCAGAACCTAAACTAACCTGATTAAATTATTTTATTTCTATTATATTATTATATTTTATTTAATTATCTTATATTAACTGGCTCTGACTGGAACTTTGACCTGATTGGTTGGAATCCTGATTGACAGGAGTTTGGGCGAGGATCTGCTCCAGATTGTCGTCGTCATGTGCAGAAGCTGAACTCAGCGAGAGGAGATTTAATTGATGAGCAGGAGCGCTGCACCTGGTCACTATGGTAACCACTCACTCCAGCTTTCTCAGTGTGCATGCACCACCTTTAAACATTGGACTCTGTCCCGGTGTTCTCACCTGGCTCCGCACCCACTTTGCTGTTTGATGTTTTCAGGGAGCAGGCGAATGGAGGTGAAGAACTGGAGGAGGAGGAGCAACAGCAAAGAGATGACCAGGTGAAACAGGTGGGTTCAGTTTTTACACCAGGATGCATAGAAGTGGATCACCCTGTGGCCGTTTCACAAAATCCAGATAAGGGATTAAGACTGAATTTCTTGTTACCCTGACCTTAATTTATCCTTCTTGCAGCAATCACAGAATCAGTGACAGACTACCATACTGATTTATTCTGTATATTTAACCAAACACCCTGGTTTGGTTAATCTATGCCAGGCTAACTGCCAGGCTCAGTTAATCCAGACTTACCTTTTTTAACTCTTCTTGAAGCCATCTAAGCTAAGATGCTCTGAGTCTGGAACAAGCCTAGCTTTTCCCCATTATTCTACACAGTATAGTACAGTAAAAGCAGGCCTGTAGTTCTTGATTTTACTGCTCCATCCACTTCCTAACAGTCTGAACTACAGGTTTAGAAGTTTTTAATTTCTGCCTATAGGTTGGATTAAGATGAAGCAGTGATCAGAGAGTCCTAAAGTTTTAAAATGCTTTTAAAATCCCAAAGAACGATGAGTCAGGGTATATTTTTTTTCCATATGTTTGTTTTCAGCCTCTGATGTGCAGGCTTGTGGAATGTAAACACCGGCCAAAATAAACGAGTACTCCCTCGGTGAATAAAGGGTTTAGTTTATAATAACTGACTCCACATGAAGGCTGCATGTCTTCTGTAACACTGTGGCATCAGTACACCAACCTTCATTTATATAAAAACAGATTCCACCTTCTATTACCCCCCCCCCCCCCCCCCCCAGAGAGCCCTACTGTAATTTTAATTCTTTGACATCTCAGCTCTGTCTGCAGCAGAACCATGTGAGTCGCTGGAGCAGGTACCTGAACACACCTGAGGAGGTGAGACCAGAAGAACAAGATACACCTGAGGTGGCAGAACCCGAAAAACAAGAAGCGGGAATGAGTGGTTTGACGGACAGGCACTATCTCCATGGCAGCAGCAAGAGTACCAGGTGACTTAAGAATTCTAGCATCAGCAAACCAGATCACAATGGTTTCAGACTGGTTTAAAAGGGCTGCCTCCATGCCAACAGCCTGTTTAGTTTTGTACAAATCAATTGATTGGTTTGACTATTTTTTCCTCGATTATAGAAAGCGACACAGATCAGAGGAGAGCACAGACCAAAGAGGAGACGCCTCCCAACCACCTGCAAAGGTAACATGCTGGCATCACTTTGTCTGCATGCTAAGCTGTGCTAACATCTGGCCCAAATAAACTGAAAAAAAAAAAGTCATCTTAACTTTGTCATTTCATGTGAACTGATTTTTTTTTTCTGCAGCCAGAACATCGAACAGACAGTCCTGGTCCAAGTGGTGCCTCCAGGTGGGATTGTTTCCTCAGTACTAACAGACCTGTGCAGGAAGAGCCTCCAGTTTGTGGGAGGAGTCAAAAAGATGCAGTGGCAAAGCTTCGCCCTCAGTTTCCCGTTTGCTCCATGTTTGAGACTGACGAGGAGTTCAGTCTGGATTTTCTCTAGTTTGTTTTTACCTCTTTAGATTTGTTTACATTTCTAATAATTTACTTCAGACACTCTAAGAATGTTTTTCATGGTTTTATTGAAGGAAGTTAATAAAGATAACAGTAAAAAGTATTAAATGAGTAAAGACTGATTATTCTCTGACATGTTTTGGTCTCAGACTACAGGAAAACAGAAAGATAGCTAGTGATGACATCACTGGTGTGGGCGGGGCTGCTTGGCGTATTGGATGGCGTCCAGCGCTGCTCCTATGTCGAAGTCCTTTGCTTGAAGGAGTCGAGTCAACCAGCCACCTTCATCTGTGAAACCCATGGACAACATGGACGACAGAGACTCCACAAGACGGGGGTCGGCTTCTGAAAGGGAAACGCTTAATAAGTGGATGGAGCTAACAGACACATCTAATATCAAACTGCATGTCCACCTTGTGGAAGGTGTGGGTAAAGAGCAGCCTCCCGCAAGCCTGATGGCCCCTGCTGTTCTCCTGATGGAGGGTCCTGGTCCTGCTTCTGGTCCTGGTCCTGCTTCTGGTCCTGGTCCACTTTCTTCAGCAACTGCAGCTCACTTGTAGATGGGTCTACCTCCTTGGAACTCAGGTGAGTCCACTCATCATCAGATTCTCGGCTCACCTGCAGCGTCAGAGTTCTGATTAGTTATTGGTCAGGCTGATCTGATAAAAGTTGTTCCAGAGGAAAACTGACCTTCGACTGGCCCTGGCTGCCCCCACCCTCAGAGCTGGCTCCTCCTTCTTCGCTGCCCCCATCCATTTCAACATCACCCTTCTCTCCACCATCCTGAGGAGGTGGATTCACCTTGGTCCTTTGGCCTTCATGTTCCACATCAATGTCCACGTCAATACCTGAACGCAAAAAACAGGATGTCACTTCCTGTTCATAGTGCAGTTGTCTCGTTGAACACTGAATCCTGCATGACATGATCTCTGTGACATCACTCACCCAATGGGCTCAACATGGCAGCCACGCCCTCACCGATGTTCTTCAGGAAGTCCACGCTGGCCTGAGAGGCTGAAGAGGTCAGAGCTCATCACTGACAATGGCTGACACTTATTTTTTTAATCAATCAGTTTAGGAAGAAACATCACCTACCAGAGGTGGCGCTGCTGTCAGCTGCAGCACTGGAGGGCCCAGCTGGCTCCTGGTTCTGGGCCATGTGCGGCCCCCACATACAGTGTCTCATCTTCTTCATCCACTTCCCTCGAGGAAACCACTGCAGACAGAAAAGTTCCAATTGTCCATTCAAAAAGCAGTGAAGTGGGCGGAGCCTATTCAAAGCGAGTGTAAAGACCTGAGATGAGGGCGAAGCCCGTCCCAAGTAGTGTCACAAAAGGACAAACTATAAATAGATTTAATCCACATACTTGTGCTTTCATTACAGACTTTGTTTTGAGTGAACAACAGATTAAGCCACACCCACAACATATGACAAGGTGGACCCTCACCTGCAGCGGGTGCCAAATGGGCAGCAGAGCATGCTCAGTGTGAGTCCCCTTGGCCTGGCAGGTGGAGCACAGGTCGTAGTTTGGACACACGGAACATTTAAAGCGGGTCCCAACTACTGGGCCCTCACAGCCATCGCAGGTGACATCTGGATGGAGGGCAGAGGGTGGGGCCATGTGAGGAGGTGGGCCATGTGGAGGAGGTGGGCCATGAGGAGGTGGGCCAAAAACAAAGGGGGGGAAAGCGTGAAGGGGAAAGTCCCGTCGGTGCTCCTTCTTCTCTGCAAAAGTTCAACAAAACTATTCAGACACACAACAGAGGACTCGTCAACAATCATCTGATGGAACAAACAAACAATGTTTACCTTTAATGTAGAGGCGGAACGTGGCTTCCTTCACAAAGGTCAGACCCATCATCAGCTCATCATCGGATGAAAATGCCACCAGGTCTCCATCTTCATCTGAAACGTCAACAAAAACAACATTTATCAACAAAAGCTCCATCAGAGCAGCTGATGGCTTTAATAAACAAAACTTTATGACGGTGAAACAACTGGGTCAGAAGAACCAGGGGGAATTTGGGTCATTACAGGAAATTCTGAAACTTGTTTACCTCAAAATTCGCAAAAATACATTGAACGAGTCGATTTAATTTAACATCAAAGAGCTGAAACGGTTTTATTAAAACTCAATCAAATCAGAGCAAAAGATCACGTGATGCTCACCTTTGTAGTACATGTTGAAAGAGGAAGAGTTCAGGTTGGAGAAAACCGTCCCCACTTTCCTGCTCAGGTACTCGAAACTACATGAGACGTCATGATCCACTGCGAATCTGCGGATCTCCTTCACTTGCTCATCCTTCCCCAACAGGTATGCCTTCACAGTCACTGACATCCTGAACCGAGCACAATTCCAGGTACAAAAAACAAACTACCGAACAGAAAGACGCACCTAACAGACTCAAACAAAGTCAGAAACTTTGTGACGCAGCGGTAAATTTTCAGCGTCTTTTATGTTTACTTCCGCTATGTCCGTCCCGTTTTTTGGTGACGTAAAGACGCATGAGGCTGCCATTGGTCGGCCTCGGTTGACCAATGGGAGGCCGTGAAGTGACTAAGCGAAAATCCAGTCAAGGACTTTCCCTTGGATCACGTGACGAGGAGTCGATACACACCCGGAACAAAGTTTATGTCGGATAAACGCCGAGTCACACTAATATATATACAAAAATGAAATTTGGATTTAAGTTATGGCTTTTAAAAAATTTAAATAAAACAAAAAATATATATATAAAAATTTATTTTCTTCTTTTAATAAACAATCATTTATGCAGTTATAGTTATGTCTTCATTTTAATGCTGTTGTTTTAAAATTTTTAAGGTATATTCTTACTGCTTTTTATTTCTTAGTGTTACCCTTAGTGTTAAGCACTTTGATAACAGTCTATCTGTTTTAAATTGTGCTCTATAAATAAATATGACTTGACTTATAGTTCAACTTCATTATTTGATAAATTTGCTTTATTCTGTCCCTAACCTATTTTGTAGATTTTTCTTCTTCAATATTCCCATTGTTTTTCATCCTTGTTGCAAAAAAGAAAAACAAACAACAAAATGCTGAATCACGACATGTCATCAAAACAAACATATTAATAGAAACAAGATTAAAATGAAATAGACATTAAAAGGCCTAGTCCTGAAAGGATGTTTTAATCTAAACTCATGTCTAGTTTAGTCAAACTTTAAAATAAAGTGTTGATGCAACATTGCAGTATCATGTATGAGCCCTCTGGATGTTAGCTCAGAGTAGGTGCTGGGATGACCCTCAGCTACTACCACAACCAATCCTAGCTCCACATCTGTAAAATTACATTATTAGATGCACTTTTATTTGATGGGGCTGCTAATTGTGGCAGCCATCTTGCCGACTCCAAAATTAATCTTTATTGCTCTGCTTCTACTTTTCTTCAGTGATCAACATCTGAATATGTTTACAAACAAGTTTTAATGTTTTTGTTTGTTTTCAGTGTCAGTTCATACAGATCACACCTTTAAACATGTGGATTGTTCCTAGCAGTCTCTAATGGGGTCAGAACTGGTTGATATTAACTTTGTATTGAATCTATTGTTTGTTGTGTTTCCAGATGTTTCTAGCTACGACATCAGCTCCAGCAGCCAATCAGCAGCAGCGCATGTATCACATGACCGTGAGTCAGCCTAAGGTGAGTCAGAGTCACAAGACAAGCAGACTCCACCTAAGGAGTGTTTTTGTTTTTCTTACCAAAGGTCATATAATGGAAACTTGCTGGTGTTTCTAATGCTTTTTGGATTAGAACAAACCAGAACCTTTCCAAGACGAAACTTTAAAAAATATATATTGTTAAACAACTAAAGATTGATGTGTTGTTACACTGATCAAATGATCCAGAAACATTTCACTTTGTAAAACATGAACTTTACCGTGATGACCCCATCGTCCCATTTTAAGTTTTTGTACATATTTTGTAACATTACGTCAGCTTACTTACTAATTTTAGCTACATGTACATGAAAACATTCGGCTCGTTCAGGGGATGGGTGCTGTGACTTTTGTAAGTTTTATTATTTTTCTAAAATATTTGACTTTACAAATATGTTCCCAATAGAAAAAACATTTAGATTTTTTCAGTTGAAATCTGCAGCAGTTATTGCCGTTTGTATTTTTAAATGTACTTTTATAGCTTGGCGTTTGGTAAGCTTCTTTTTTTTTGTTCCATTAAACTTTTAGTAAGCTTTATGCTACTTAAAGCTAACTTTTTACTTTTAATTTGAATTCTGTTACTTTAAATCTTAAACTCAAGATAACCCTATGTTCTGCAATTTTAAGTTGCTAATCTTTTACTACATTTAGCTGTTGGCTAGTGTTTCTGTTACGATTTCTGTCATTTTATGTCAGTTTAGGCTTCTCTTATAAAATGTTTCTGTCATTTAGCGATTTATGGAAAAGGATGAGTGCCACAGAATTCTGAGGAAAAAAACGGTCTTAGAATAAAAGTGAGAATTCAGTGAAAATGTTTTCATCGTGGCCTCAATCCACTTCTGTTATCAACCGGTTTTCTCAGAGAGAAAAAAAATAAATAAATATATATATATATATATATATATATATATATATATATATTGCAAGTAGACAAAACGTGGAATTTGTATTTGTTTACTTCAATTAAACAAAAACAAAGAAAGTTTTAACTCAAACTGCTGAACAATAAAGTTTCACATCACAAACTGGTTGGCCCTGACCATTTTCAGCTCATGAGCAAAGACAATAAATCTGGTTCTATTCTATTCTATTCTATTCTATTCTATTCTATTCTATTCTATTCTATTCTATTCTATTCTAAAGCAACGAGAGGCAGAACAACAGACAGAATAAAAATCTGAATATTGTGATGTGTTATGGTGGGCGGGGCATGCTGCCGTCAATCAAATTATCTGCAAGTTCAATGAAAAGCCACGATCAATCACTTAATGATGGCAGTTAATTTTATTAACAAGAATCGGACCAGAATATAAATTAAAATAACTGTTGGGAGCAAATCAATACATGACTCTACTTAAAATGCTTTTTTAATTTTATTTTGAGTTTTCAAAAAAAAAAAACAAGTTTCAGCAACAAATGCCTTGTGAATGTCAGTGATGATGTCAGTGCAGCCCTAAAATGGCAGCAGATGTGTGATGTCATCTCAATGACGTCAGATGTAGAGCGGGTGGTACATTTGGCGGGTGAGTTTCTTCCTGCAGGTAGGACAGGTGCGTGATGATGTCAGAGCGTCTCTCAGACATTGGCTGCAAAACACGTGACCGCACTTCGTGGAAACGACCAATCGGCCGCTCTCGACAATCTGTGGAGGAAACGACAGCCAATCAGGGTGCAGGACTGGCCTCCCGGGCCACTGAGGAGCAGATACGTCACGTGACCACCGGCGCCAACGTCAGAACCAACAGTGGTTCCCGGTGCGACATCTGACATGTCAGAATGTTTCGACTAGTTTTTGTTCCGTCGGACTGTTTGTAACGTTCTGCTCTGATAATTTAATGATACGGGTTGTTTCTCTCACAAAGGTTTTCAGTTTACATGTCACAACAAATAAATCTGAAACAAGAACTGGTTTACTTCCTGGAGTTTCATATCACATGTGATGTCTTTAAAATGTCTTAAAGTCCTCCTTTTAATCAGAGCCAGAAGACAAACTCAGTCCAGGGGTGCTAAAACTTTAGCAAGCCACACAGGAAGTCTTGACTGAGAGCTCAGGTGCTTCACCTGCTCAGTTCAAAACAACCAGTCATGTGTCTGTAGAGCCATGTGAACCATGAGTCTCACCTCAGAGTACAGGTCCAAACAGACCGGACAGCTGATCATACCCGGCGTCGTCCTGAAACACACAGGGAACAAGCCAAGGCTCAGTGTATTACCTGCAAACGTTGTCAGCAAGAACTGAGTGCATTATAAGTCTAATACCTGGACACACAGTCAGTGAACATCACTGTAATTATATACACCACTGCATTGACTGGATGTCTTTACAGGGATCAGTCTAATACCTGGATACACTGCCAAAGGGATCAGTGTACTGCCCAGATGTGTCGTCAGGGATTAGTGTATTAACTTACTGCATCTTTGTAGGGATCAGTATATAAATTGAATGTCTTTTCGGGGATGAGTCTATTACTTGGATATACGCTCAGAGGAATCAGTGTATTACCTGGGTATGTTGTCAGTAAAGATCAGTGTCAGTCCATTACCTGGATACATTATCAGCAGGAATCAGTGCAATACCCAAGTTTGTCTTTGCAGGGATCAGTCTATTACCTGGATGTGTGTGCAGAGGACATCATAGCAGCATGAAGGGCAGGGGTCATATCTTCATCTTCGTCACTACTGAGCACATAGCTCTCACCTGGTTGGACTTTCCTGTTCCGAGGACCTGATGGGCAACACAGAAATGTGGAACTGCTCCTTTAGTGGGCGAACACGATAGTAAAAAGACATTTTCATCCTTCGTAGTCGGAGTTTTACCTTCGTCCACCAGCTGGAGCGCAGCAGCAAGGACAAGAGAAAAAGCGTTAGATCACTTCCTGTACAAAAAGGTTACTTCCTGCGTGTTTTTATTTTTACCAGTACAGAGTCGTTGCTGGTCGTCAGGTCGACCACAGTAGCTTCTGATCCTTCACAGGTCAGATCCACCACCTCCTCCACACCTGAACACACAAGGTAATTAATCCAGTCATGTGAACACAAACAACAACTAAAGTAATTATTTATCGTACTGACCATCATCTGCGCCATCGATCACGTCGATGGGCTCTGTGGGGGGGGCGGGGTCACCAGCATCCGCCGACCTGCAAGTCATCGTTTTGGCATTTGCTGCTCTGCTGACCTTGATGCTGGTTCTGGAGACCAGAGGTCTTCCTGTGGGCCTTCTCTTCCTCTGTGCCTAAAAGCAGAAGATCATGTCAGCAGTGGGCGGAGCTTCCTCCACATGCCGACTCAGCATTCACTTATGTTCATGTTTTAAAATTAGTTTTTCCGTTTGTTTTGTTGCAAACAAGCTACTTCTGCAGACTTTGTGGATTTTTAACACATCCAGCTTACAGAGGAGATGAGTGCTAAAACTTTTAGTTTTCATTGTTCTTCAAATCTACTTCAGCAAACTTTTACTTTTAGTTACAATTACGCAGCCTTTAGCTATCCTGTTCTATTTTTAGCTGGTGTTTCGCTTCTTTTAACATTTCAGTTTCAACATTGTAGTTTAAAAAAAAAAAACAATAATTCTATTCCACTCATTTGTTTGACAAAATATTATAAAACAAACTGACAATTAAATAAATCTGGAGGATTTTAAGGCTCAGCTTGTCCCCCTCTATCGAAGCTTCAAGGTGCAGCAAAGAAACAAATCTTAAGAGTCCTGAAGGATTTTACAGAACACGGGTTTAATTCACCGTGAGTTTTCTGTTCCAGAGGTTAAATTCTGCTCTGACAGGTTAATGAAACAAACTATGAGCTGGACTGGTATCTTCCCACCTGAAGCAACTGTCTGACGTGAGGCAGGGGTGGACATAAGCAGGTTTTGGTTGTGACCGAGACAAACTTATTTTTGTCTCAGACAGCCACATCTTGCTGCAAAGATACAGTGCCTTGTAAAGTATTCGACCCCCTTAGACTTTTCAACCTTTTGCCACATTTCAGGCTTCAAACATAAAGATATAAAATTTTATTTTTTTGTGAAGAATCAAGAACAAGTGGGACACAATCGTGAAGTGGAATGAAATTTATTGGATGTCAAACTTTAACAAATAAAAAACTGAAAAGTGGGGCGTGCAATATTATTGGGCCCCTTGTGTTAATACTTTGTAGCACCACCTTTTGCTGCAGTTCCAGCTGCAAGTCTCTTGGGGTTTGTCTCCATCAGTTTTGAACATGGAGACACTGAAATTCTTGCCCATTCTTCCTGCAAAACAGCTCGAGCTCAGTGAGGTTGGATGGAGAGCGTTTGTGAACAGCAGTCTTCAGATCTTTCCACAGATTCTCGATTGGATTCAGGTCTGGACTTTGACTTGGCCATTCCAACACCTGGATATGTTTATTTGTGAACCATTCCATTGTAGATGTGTCTTTATGTTTTGGATCATTGTCTTGTTGGAAGATAAATCTCCGTCCCAGTCTCAGGTCTCTTGCAGACTCAAACAGGTTTTCTTCCAGAATGGTCTTGTATTTGGCCCCATCCATCTTCCCATCAATTCTGACCATCTTCCCTGTCCCTGCTGACAAAAAGCAGGCCCAAACCATGATGTTGCCACCACCATGTTTGACAGTGGGGATGGTGTGTTCAGGGTGATGAGCTGTGTTGCTTTTACGCCAAACATATCGTTTTGCATTGTGGCCAAACAGTTGGATTTTGGTTTCATCTGACCAGAGCACCTTCTTCCACATGTTTGGTGTCTCCCAGGTGACAAACTTTAAACAACACTTTTTATGGATATCTTTGAGAAATGGCTTTATTCTTGCCACTCTTCCATAAAAGCCAGATTTGTGCAGTGTACGACTGATTGTTGTCCTATGGACAGACTCTCCCACCTCAGCTGTAGATCTCTGCAGTTCATCCAGAGTGATCATGGGCCTCTTGGCTGCATCTCTGATCAGTCTTCTCCTTGTTCCAGATGAAAGTTTAGAGGGACGGCCGGGTCTTGGTAGATTTGCAGTGGTCTGGTACTCCTTCCATTTCAATATGATTGCTTGCACAGTGCTCCTTGGGATGTTTAAAGCTTGGGAAATCTTTTTGTATCCAAATCCGGCTTTAAACTTCTCCACAGCAGTATCTCGGACCTGCCTGGTGTGTTCCTTGGTCTTCATGATGCTCTCTGCACTTTGAACAGAACCCTGAGACTATCACAGAGCAGGTGCATTTATACGGAGACTTGATTACACACAGGTGGATTCTATTTATCATCATCAGTCATTTGGGACAACATTGGATCATTCATAGATCCTCACTGAACTTCTGGAGTGAGTTTGCTGCACTGAAAGTAAAGGGGCCCAATAATACTGCACGCCCCACTTTTCAGTTTATTTGTTAAAAAAGTTTGACACTTCCAATAAATTTCATTCCACTTCACGATTGTGTCCCACGTGTTGTTGATTCTTCACAAAAAATTAAAATTTTATATCTTTATGTTTGAAGCCTGAAATGTGGCAAAAGGTTGAAAAGTTCAAGGGGGCTGAATACTTTCGCAAGGCACTGTGTATAGTGCAATATACTTAGTAAATTACATTTTTGAGATTTGTTTTGCCTTCTTTATAGTAAAGGTTGCAGACAACCAAACATTTTGGTGGACAACCTGAAAACTCTCCTGATGTCTTCCCCTGTGAGGTGTTCATGATTAATCCGACTGATACTGAAGCAGAATTATTTCATGAATGGCTTTGTGTTGTGCATGTAAACACTCTGCCCTCAAGGTTCTTAAAGCTTAATATAACCAAAAGAAATACAGACTTTGGAGTAACTCAACGATCTTGACCAGATCAGAAACCGTTCTCCACTTTATAATCCAACAAACAAAATATGATGAATGTCACAGAAACATCAGCTGATGCTGTCAAACATACATACGTAAGAAAACTTACAGGGCTGCTCATATCACCACAGGAGCCGAACACACAAGAAGGTCCTGAACGCTCCAATGTTTCTGGAAGAAATTAAATTACCAAAGGTTACAAGAGTAATTTATCACAGATGTGTTTTGAGTTATTTTTTCTTATTTACCTGTGAGCATAAACACACAATGGACAAGATAACAACAGAAAAGTCACATTAACAATTTATGAACTAATATGACGTAATATTCACCAATGAAACATGAAACTACTACTCAAACAATAAAATGATACATTTGATCATGGAGGTATCCATCAGACCTCCTAAATGCAACATTTGCATAAACAAGATAAAATATTATTCAGAACATATTTCAAATTAAGTAACATTAAAAGCAGAAAAACAAAAGATATTTAAATAAAATTATATGTAGCCCTTAAATTAATTCGTCAGAGGCCTATATTAGCTGAGCGAGGTGATGAGAGAACTATTTTGCTTGTTTTTTTGTTTTTTTTTAACACTGTCAAACGAAAGTTTTAACATCTGGAGTTCTGGAGAGGATGCAATCTCCTCTGTGGTCCACACTGCACTCAACCACCTGGAGCAGAAAAACTCTTACGTCCGTATGCTCTTTGTGGACTTCACATCCGCCTTCAACACCATGATCCCCCAAACCCTGATGGACAAACTATCCACACTAGGACTAAGCCCCTCCATCTGCAACTGGGTACTAGACTTTTTAACAAACAGACCACAGTTAGTGAGGATCCACAACCTCTCCTCCTCCACCATAACCCTCAGCACTGGCTCTCCTCAGGGATGTGTGTTGAGCCCCCTCCTGTTTACTCTGCTCACATATGATTGTGCAGCTACCCATCCAGGCTGTCACATTGTAAAGTTTGCAGATGATACAGCGGTGGTGGGATGCATCACAAACAATGATGAGTCCAGCTACAGGCAGGAGGTGGAACACCTGGAGAGCTGGTGCAGAGAGAATAACCTTCACATCAATGTGAAGAAGACAAAGGAGATGATTGTAGACTTCAGAAGGAACAAAAACACCTACACCCCCCTGAACATAAGAGGATCTGCGGTGGAAGTGGTCTCCAGCTACAAGTACTTGGGTGTACACATGAATGACAACCTCAGCTGGAGCAACAACACCACCAGCCTGATCAAGAAAGCTCATCAGAGACTCTACTTCCTCAGACGGCTGAGGCGAGCTGGTCTGGGAAGCTCAGTCCTCACCTCCTTCTACAGGTGTGCAGTGGAGAGCATCCTGTGCTCGAGCATCAATGTGTGGCATGGAGGCTGCACAGCTGCAGAAAGAAAAGCTTTGCAGAGAGTGGTGAAGGCTGCACAGAAATCTGTTGGAATCAGTCTCCCCACCATCACAGACATCTACACCTCCAGATGCAGGAAGAGGGCCACCTGCATCATGAAGGACCCCACCCACCCAGCACACACACTTTTTGCCCCACTCCCCTCAGGAAGGAGGTTAAGGAGCATTAAGTGCAGAACCACTAGACTGAGGAACAGCTTCTACCCTGAGGCTGTTAGACTCATGAATCTCTAACTAGAATAATCACTGTGAAAAACCATATCATGTTGCTGCTGATCTGTTTCATGTTGCTGCTGATCTGTTTCATGTTGCTGCTGATCTGTTTCATGTTGCTGCTGATCTGTTTCAATGTTGATGTGTTCATGCGTGCACATCTGCTCACAGACTCATGTTCATGTTTGTGGTGATGTTCAATGTTTTATGTTATGAGTGCTTAGTGTATATTTAGTTGATGTTTTTCTTAGTTCATATCTTAGATGTTATTACTGTTTTTCTTATACATTTTATTGTTGGATGTAACTGGGACCCTGTGTACATAATTTCGCTCCACCACATGTACCACATGAGGTGCGAATGACAATAAAGAAACTCTGACTCTGACTCTTATTTGAATACAGGCTTAGATCTGTCACATCTATATTTATGTATATAACATTTTAAGATTAAGATAATGTTATAAGACACTCATCTTTTTTATTTTCAGATTATATCTATATATCTATATAGACAGACAGACAGACAAGACAAGACAAGACATTCTGAGGGGAGAAGGAGTCTATGTCCATGGATTTTATGGTCAGAAGATCTTGAAGGGATTTCCATAACGTGTTCACAGAATGACAGAAATAAAACAGATGTTCTGTTGTTTCAGGTTCGTTACATATAGAACAGTTATCACATTCAATTTTAAATCCATTTCTGATAAACTCGTTTGAAGGATATTTAGTTTTGAAATGTAATTATTTACATTTAGGCAAAAAAGGAAAACCCAGATATTTTATTGTCATTATTTGTATTCTCTCCTCCTCATCATAAAACTCATGAAAATTCCTTCGTACTTCCTTCTAAATATATTGTTTTTATTAAATGTCTTTAAACAATTGTTGCATTTTTTTTGTGTATAAAATTTAGTCCATTGAGATTGATACTCTGTAAACTAACTGTTGGATTAGTTTCATAATTGTTCTTTATTAACTAAAGAAATGCAATCGGTATATTTTTAATTACTTTGTCATAGTCCCTTTTGGTACAGATAAGATTATATTTTTTAATGAATTCTTCACATTCATATAGATTTCCCTTTTCATCCATTAGACGAGAGAGTGATCATATTTGCTTCTCCATCCATTTTTCCATGAACAGACTTCCCTCTGTGTAAAACGACTGTTGTTCCAAAAAGGAACATTGTGAGGACAGAAGTTATGTTTAGATGCTTTTTCCAGTTTAATAACACCTGTTAGGTGAAAAGCAGATAATTCAACAGGTAATTTAGGAATGTCAAAGTCATATCTTAATAAGCCTTAATGATAATGATCTTATCACCCCAAAATTTAACATCTGTTAACTCAGAGTCTGACTCTTGAAGACAAAAACATTCTTTTGACCTTTGCAAAATAAAATTAAAGCTTCTTAATGGTCTTTGAGCCCTCCTGCATTAAAGGAAAAAAACTTCTCTCAGTCTTAAATACTAAAAGTATTAAATACAGTAACAATAGAAAAAAAAACTTGGGTTATAGGAGGTCGAGTAAAAAACCCTTGGAGTCAGTCCCCTTGAACCAAAAAAAAAAACTTCAATCTAAAAAAAAAAAAATTCTAAATACTGCTCAAACTTGAGCCAAAGAGTCACTTCCCTTCAGTGTAGGTGAAGGGTCCTCTGAATCCTGCAGCCTTACCCTCCTTTCTTGCTCATTCCTTGGTCACAGCATCCGTCTTGACTTCCAGTCCTCCTGGGTCAGGTCCTCTGCAAACTCGAGTGCTTCTTCTTTGCAGCTCCGTGATGACTTGGTTTGCTTCCACACCTCATCTCTTACACTTCTCTTGGAGAAGAGGATTATAACTTGTCTGGGTTGGCCCTCCATCGATCTTCCCACTCTGTGAGCCATGTCAACAACATCCTCCATCTTTCCAGTCAGATCAGGTACAATTCTGCTCAGCAACTCCACAACTTCAGCCCTGGTGTTTTCATTCACTTTTTCCTTTAATCCGTAGGCACCATCTTCTTTTATATCTTTCTTGGCTCACAAAATGTTCCTTCGTTTCCTCATTTTCCTTTTGAAGAAGTTCTACTTCTGCTTCTGAGCTTTTAACTGTTTTTGCACTCTTCAGTATCCTCAGAGTTTATCTGCATGGCGCTGTGCTGTTGTAACTGGTTACCAATGCCCTCCAGGTGGTTATCCACAAAAACCTCCTCGTCGTCGTCACAGGTACCTTGAACAGTCTTTTCAGTATTTGTTGGAGTGGTGGCTCCTCTGTCTCGTTTGCCATTAGCATTAGCCACCTCTGAGCCTTCTGACTTACGGCTCCGCGTAGATTTAAAATTTTTTTTTCCATGTTTGTGGGTCTTTATGTTGGCTCATCTTTATGACTGAAGTCAAGCAACTGTACTCCTAGTGGAGTTCACTTAGTTCTTTTATCATCGGGACTCCTTTAAGACCTCAGTGATGCGTCCGTTCAACCCAATTCTGGCTAGTGATGTGTGGATCGATACAGTTTTATCGATACTATTGACAGAATGTTTCGCTCTAGAATTGATTCTTAAACTATCGATACTTTTGATACTTCAGTCATTTCAGGTAATGCATATCATTATCAGGAAGATGGTGGAAAGTAACTAAACTATTGAGATCTTGTCTAAATGTTATGCGGTTGGAGGGAACTACTTTTTCTTCCACCTGAGTAAATGTGTAATGCGTGTAAGCGGAGCGGCACGCAGCTCGTCAGCCTCTCCGTCTGTAGACACAGCGGCGGAGCTTAACAGTCATGTGTGGAGCTATTTCATCTCCAGAAACAGCCAAGAAGCAGTTTGTGGAAAATCTGTAAAGAGCTGTAGCAACACAACAAACCTTGTAAAACACTTCCTGTTAAATCACAACACATAATGTGAGTCACTGATGAGGCGGATAGAGGAGGAGAGCAAAGACTCAGGTGCTGCTGCTGCTCTGGAGGAGTCCCTCAGGGCTGTAGGACTATCCAGGTATACAGGGAAGAAATGTGGAGCTTTCAGCAGAGCTAAGAACTGCTGCAGTTGGAGTTGTTCAAACGAACAAATGTGGTTATGAAATAATTAACAAAATAAATTCATGCTTCAACAAATAGTTGCATAAATTCAGTTTGGAGTAATATGTGTATCACTGAGATAATCTCACATGGGCAAAAGAAAAAAAAAGCCTAGATTTATTCAGGTAAGGTTTCATAAAGAACTGATTTAAAGTGGATTACATAGACCAGGTGTCATCAAATTATATAGAGCAATGGTGATAAAACAGCCTTGGTGAATTCTGAAAAATATATACTACAAATGACTAAATGAGGTCACTGCAACAACATACTCCTGAGTTTAAAATAAATAAAATGACTGTCTTGCATTCTTTATGTAGCTTTGATTTGAATACACTACTTTTTTAAAGTTTACCTGACACATTAGGCCTATTTGTATATAAAAAATTCAGCATATGTATCGATACCGCCGATATTCGCATGGATTTTACCAGGTATCGTATCAGGCCAGAAAATACTGGTATCGAAGAATACCGATTCTGGCTGTACAATGCTAACGTTGCTACGTAAAGGTCTTTCCAAGATGGCGGAAAAAAATTCTCGCTAGCATAGCTTGCGCAGGAACTGACCGTTCCAATTCTTACTTAAACTTGGTGCTCCGAATAACCTGAACCAGTCACAAAAACTAGTTAACCCTAACCACCTTCATTCGAAATTCAAAAATCACCGCCAATTTTTGACTCTGCCTAACCCGTCCGGCTCGCCGCCGCGGCCCCTGATAGGTGCGTAACCAATGAAACCACTTTCATGGGTTAACAGGTTGAGGCACAACACCGGTGAAACAGTTAGCAGTTAGCTAGTGTCAATCACTTCAGCATATGTTTCCGGGTGGTTCGGTTCACACCTCGAGACAGTTCCAGATTAGACGAACAGACCACAGTCGAATTAAACTGATTCTGATCCACAACACGAACAGGACTCGATACCTCTTTCAGAGGGTAACAGTTTGAGGCACAACACCGGTGAAACAGTTAGCAGTTAGCTAGTGTCACTCACTTTCAGCAGGTGTTTCCGGGTGGTTCGGTTCACACCTCGAGACAGTTCCAGATTAGACGAACAGACCGCAGTCGAATTAAACTGATTCTGATCCACAACACGAACAGAACTCGATACCTCTCGATTTCCTTCAGCTTCTTCTTCCTCTGTTGTAGCAGCAGTTGGAAACGGACTGTTGGTTCTCTCGCGCCGCCTTCAGTCTTAAAGGTAAAACTACAACTTATTAACTTTTTTTTTTTTAATCAGAAATAATTTAGTTGTTTTTGTTTTCATTCACAGAAGCGATTATTCAATTTTAAACAAAAATAATGTTTATTTACATTTAATTAGAAACTTGAATGATGCATTTTTTTTTAAAAACTTGTAAATTTCACGTCTCCAGCTCGTCCAAAATGCTGCAGCTTGGCTCTTAACAGGAACTTGTAGTTTTGAGCATATTTCACCAGTTTTATCCTCCTTTCACTGGCTCCCTGTATGTATCAGAATGGACTGTAAAATTCTCCTGTTTACCTTTAAGTGCATAAATGACCTTGCACCCTCATATCTTTGATCTACTTCAACCATATGTTGAAGAATATGTTAAAAACTTTGGTAACAGCTCTTTTTAAATGAGCTTCATAAATAAAATTGGCTCGACTACATTGTATATATTTAAAATCACCTCTATGTAGTACAACCTCACACTGGTAACCACAGCAGGAAACAGTTACCATAATAAACTGGATACAAATATAGTTACTTAAAAATCTTTATCATATGATAGGAAAAAAACACTACAGTATATTATTTTAAAAAGTTATTTTTGTTTCCATGATGGCTTTTTCATTTTTTCACCAGGACTCTAAAATACTGAGCTTAATTTCAGAAACTGCCCTCACATCATTTCCAGAACCCCATCAGTCCAAGAGACCCTATTATTTTATTGACCCAATCATTCCCAGAGACAGGATCATTCCTAGAGACCCCATCATTCCCAAAGACATAGATCTGAATGAGACCTGAACATGACTTCCACTAGATCAAAACTAAACCTAACCAAAGAAACTAACACAGTTAATTAAGTCAAGTCCTCTGGATCGTCTAACGATGAGGAATGCATCCAGAGTAACTGTTAACCTTGTTAGATTTTTCTACCTGGATTATCGAGTTTCTATCAGGACGCCAACCAAAGAAAGCTGAACTGAATTTAATCTGGATCTAAATCCATATTAACCCTGAACCTAAACTGGATTGGAACAGGACAAAACCTGGTCTTGAACTTGCTCTGAACTGGACCTTATCTTAAGAATAAATATGTTTTCATCCTAAAATTTGATTTCTCACAACTTTTTCCAACATTCAGATTTTATTTAAAACAAAATCAGAATGGAAACCAAAGAAAAATGACAGCTGATCAAAAAATAAAATTAGTAACCCTCCTGCTGTCCTCAGGTTAAGACATTTAGACCTGAGGACATCTGAAGGGTTTAATATAAATTAGTCAATTTCTAGTCAGTCACTGATAATTTATTCTGACGTCTCAGTTTCCTGTTTTCACAATTAAAGCAGAAACATTAAAAAAAAAAGTAGTTTAGAGAACAAAAGGAAATTGGGCTGAATTGATCCATTAGTACCAGGACCAGTCCGAACATGAGGTGGATCAGCACTTAAAAAAGCAGGAAGTAAACAACAACATCCAGCAAAACATTTCGACCAATGACAGGTGAACATTTGGACAGCGAGACGAGTCGACATCCTCAGGTTTTTGTTTCATCAGGTGACTGCAGTCGCGCTGTGTGGTGACCCAGTGCATCATGGGAGCTCTTGCCTGTAGGCGGGGACATCTGGCACGGCCCGGCAGAGTCTGCTTTAAGGCTGTGCCTTCATTAACGCCAGGAGCTGAACATCCCATTGAGCCAGGACACCTGAACATAGCACAGCTAAGGAGACAGACATAAATAACCCTGTTTACCTGTTTGTGTTTACTTGCAAGTTATTCACCTGTGTGTGTGTTTACCTGTCTAGCAGCTCTAAGTAGAGGCGAAGGTCCTGGGATCTACCTAGTTCATCTTTAGGTGTGTGTCAAGGATCTGGAACATCTCTTGGATGTTTGGGACGTAACCGGACTGCAGCTTCGACCAAACAGGAACATCTGAGGGGATGACAAACGGTGTGACACCAGGAAGTGACTTCTTATTTGCTCCGCCTCTCACTCATAATTTAACTTCATTGACAGCACAGAAAAAAACACAACTTGAGCTTAGAGATATTTTTGTAGACTTGCTAAAAATACTGTTAACTGAATAAAAGTCTTTTTTTTTACAAAGTGTTTCTTCTCTGAGCTGCAGAGAAATTAGAAAAGTGTGACCGGACCCTTTATTTAAAGAGTTTATGTTTAAATATTAAGCATTCGTAAATCATAAAGTAAGCTGCATTTTAAAACGCTGCGCTGAGCTCTGGACCAATCAGAACTCACCATTCAGAGTGACCTCGAAGGCTCCCGTAGACAGGAAGTGTGTCTCCATCATGTTACAGACGAAGAACGCCATCAGACACGAGAAGATCTGACAAACGGGAAACACAATCAATCAATCTGTTGCCGCAGCAACCAGACTGCATCTGTTGTCGTGGTAACAGCAATAAGGGGTTCTGGTACCTTGTTGTTCTGAGTCCAGGTCCAGAACGCAGGGGTGTCGTAGCCGAGGAGGGGGAAGGGGTTCTGACCGCTGATGATGAGGAGGATGGAAAGCAGCTTCAGGTATGAGATCAGGTTACCGACGTACCTGAGGAAGAGACTTCAGACTCAACAACCAAGCTCCATCTTACATTAAATATCCTATTGTTACATATTTTCCTAAAAGAAGCATTTTGCTCACAGACTGCAGGTTTACTTGTAGTTCCTAGAGTTTATACAAGTAGAATAGGAGTCTTTAAGTTTCAGACTCCTCTCTTCCAGTTTCTCTCCGTGAGCTGACTCTGCCTACTTTTAAGACTAGACTTAAGACTTTCCTTTTTGTAAATCCTATAGTTTGGGCTTCTTGAGGATGACACTGTTTAAGAGGAAAAAAATATAAAGCATATTAATATAAAGTTTATTTGACAGCATCTGCATTTTTATAGATTTTCTAAAGTAATTCCTCAGGATTTGTAGGTTGGGATATTAATTGACATCATACCTTACCTGTTGTAGGGATTAGGGCGTGGTTTAATGACATCATAGCTCACCTGTTGAAGGGGGTTGGGGGGTAGTTTTCTCCCTGGATACGGATGTCTGGATACACCTGGCTGATGGCGTGGGAATATTCCTGGAAGACTTTACTGTACCCTCAGGAGGTACTGAGAACACACACACAGAACACACCTGTCAGGTAAGCTCCACCCACCAACACATGCAGGACACACCTGTCAGCTGGGCTCCAGCACACACACATTATTTACTGTTAATTTAAAACAAAAAAAAGAATATTATTGATCATTAAAACTTCACAGAAAACGTTGTTTTTTTTTTAATTCTCCAGCAATTCACGTGACATCTTTCTGATAAACTGTAAACATCGCGTGACCCTCAGTCAACAGAACCGTTCCGAGGTTACCTGTCAGGTGTCAGAACCGCTCACACTCACCAGTATCGGAACCGGAGGATCGGCCCGGTGTACAGCGCGGCCTTGGGTGGTTTCCCGGTCTCGGAACTCGGCTCTGGGTTCAGTTCGGTGTCCGGGGACGAACCGGGCCGCAGGTTCGACCTGCCGATATATACGTCCCGCAGTGTGAGAGCCATGAAGAACAACAGAACCGCGAGCAGGCCGGTCGAACCGAACTCTGCCATGTTCGCGGCTGTCTTCTTTTTCTTCTTCTACTCCTCCTGGTTATTTCTTCTTCTACGCCTCCGGATTATTTCTTCTTCTGTGGTGTTTAACTGAAGATGAATCTTTTCACAGCGCCGCCTCCTGGTGGACCCGGTGCACTGCTGCTCAAGTTCAAATGGTGTTTGTCATATGGGAAGGGAAGTCTGAGACTGTATGCAAGGTTAACAGTACAATGAAATGCTCAGGAGGAGAGGAACTGATTTGACTCGCAAAAAAAAAAAAAAAAGAACAAACAAACAAAAAATACTAAAGCATTCAATAAGGGTACAGAATAAAGTACTAAAAGTGATAAAGTAAAGGTCCTAAAGAAAGATAGGAAACAATAACATGGTAGAATATAACCGTGCAAGTAGGATGAATTTGTGTGAGTAAGTATTTGAAGGTAGTAATATAAGCTAAAATGCGCATGATATATATAAAAAAAAAAAAAAAAAAAAAAAAAAATATATATATATATATATACTGCACATAACTAACATACTACACAGGTTGTGTGACAGGTTATTGCACAGGTACTGAGTAACACTGATATTGAATTATGATGATAATTATTACGGTAATGGTAATCATATGGATTATGATTATGAGGGTTTGCTAATATCAGTCAAAGTAGGTGTCACAGATGTGGCTTGGTGTTATTGCCTGTTGTTCAGTGTTATTTATCAAGAGTTCAATAATCTGACAGCTTGTGGAGAATGGCTGTCCTTTAGTCTTTTTGTGCACGATGACTGACTCTTGTATCGTCTGCCAGAGGGTAGTAGATGGAAGAGTCCTTGAGCTGGGTGGGTGTGGTCCTTAATGATGCTGTGTGCTTTACACAGACTTCGGCTGTGGTAGATGTCCTTGATGGTGTGGAGACTGCGACCAGTGATGTCCTCTGCTTTTTGCACCACCCTCTGTAGTGCTTTCCGGCTCTGACTGGTGCAGTTCCCACCCTATGATGCAGCCTGTCAGCAGGCTCTCAGTGGTGCACCTATAAAAGTTGGTGAAGATGCTGTTGTTCGTCCCAAACTTCTTTAATCTTTTTAAGAAGTAGAGTCTTTGTCAGGCTTTCTTGACCACAGTGTCTGTAAGAAAAGTCCAGGACAAATCCTCAGTGAACGCCGAGGAACTTGAAGCTGCTGACCTGCTCCACCTCAACGTTGTTTATGTAGATGGTGGAGTGCTGGCCTCCATGCTGTTTGCTGAAGTCATCTATCATCTCCTTTGTTTTGCTGACATTTAGAGAGAGAGGTTATTTTCCTGACGCAAGCTGGTCAGTGGTTTCACCTCATCTCTGTAGGCGCTCTCGTCGTTGTTGGTGATGAGGCCCAAGATGGTGGTGTCATCAGTATATTTGAGGATGACGTTAGAGCTGTGCTTGACGATACAGTCGTGTAAATAGAGAGTACAAGAGTGGACTGAAGACACAGCCCTGACGTGTACCGGTGCTGAGGACTAGTGTGGAGGAGAGGTGACTGCCGATTCTCTCTGCCTGGTCTTGGTGAGGAAATTCAGTATCCAGCAACAGATGGACTTCTCTGTCTGAAGCCTTCCTTTAATTAAAGGGAAAATATAATCTCACAATATTGAAATTGCATGAATATCATTTAGTGAGACACTTCCACAAAGCATCCCAGGGACCCTATGCTTGTATGTGTTAGTGTACTGCACTTTGGCAAACTGTGTTGTTTTTAAAATACTTAATAAATAAAGTTGTATTGTATTGTACATGTATTGCATTTATGATGATTTGTTTTAAATCAAGATGTAAATATATAGAATCTGTTATCTAATACGATTATAAACAATATGTTTGCAAACTACAGAATAAAATTTAATTTGGTTAAATCAAACATAAACTACTATGGATAACTCAAGGTTAAAACTTTGGTGACTGTTTTTACTCAGTTTAGTCACAAACAACCAGCTGATCCTGGAGTTTATGAAACTCAGCTGATTTATTTTGGCATTTAATTTTTTTTATATATGAAATAAAAGTGGGCCTAATCAGTACTATTCTATTCATAAACTATGAGCAAAGCTTTTTTTAAATGAGAAGCATTTTAAAGATAAATTATCCTTAAACTTTTTAAAAGGAATCTTTCTTACGTTATTTTATAACATTTCTGTTAACGAGCATGTAATTATACAAAGAAGGCGGTAAAAAGACCTGATTTTGTTAAACTTGCTTTAGTCCAAGTTTTCAATTAAAACTTCACGCGCTTTCGTTGGACACTCGTAATGCTTTTATTCTGAAACGGGAAAAGGTTTCCGGTAAAACTGTAGTCCCCCCCCCCCCCCCCCCGTTTGTTTATTGTTTATTTTTATTCACAGACATAAATATGTTATAAATATGACATGATTCCTTCGGTTCTTCTGCAACGTAAAACGTAATAAAGCTGCGACGCCGCATAGCGCTGTCAGTGACGTCATACACGTGTGACACGGGAGAGACGAAGGTGAAGAGGAGTTCAGACATGTCTTTTTTTTCTTCTTTTCTTCTCTGAAACCTGGAACCGTCCGACGGGTGACGTGACGCATGCACGTTCCGGAGTTTTGTTCCGTTAAATCAGAGGTCACGTGGTCAACATGCTCATCGTAGGAGGTCTGGTTCGGTCCAGAGTCCTGTGGCTCCGTGGACCAGCCGCAGGACTTTTCAGGTGGACCGGACGGGCTGCCGCTTCTGTACCTGAGTCACATGTGAGGAGCTTGTCCGGGGTGGGCGGGGACAGCGGCGCAGGTGGATGGTACAACAGCCTGTCGCACTCCGAGCCGGTTCACCTGTGCGAACAATTCCTGGTTGGAGTCCAGCAGGTGAGCGGGTTGCCGTGGTGGCTGAGTGTTGTCATGGCAACGATCTCAGTCAGGACCTTCGTCACCCTGCCGCTCGCCGCCTACCAGCTACGTATCCTCAGCAAGGTGGGTGGAGCTAAAAACTCACCTGAAAGGTAGGATCACATAATCCAGTTTCAGGACCCTGGTTAGTTTAACCTGATCAGAACCAAACCCGATCAGATCCACACCAGAACCAAACAGGTCTATTTTAATCCACCAAACAGGAATATCATCTTATCAAGGTAACTTCAGGTTCAGTTCAGGATTTTCAGTGTTTACATTTTACCTTGGTTTGTTACCATGGCAACTGATGTTGGGAACCCCACCTGCTCCGTTGCCTTTTGTAGCGGGCTTTCCTTCCTGGTTCTGGACTCTGCTTGGTTCTTTGTTTTTTTTTCCTGAACGTCCACTGATCCAGAGTTAGAAATTTGGGGTTGAGTTAACCAGCTTTGAAATACCACTAATTAATTAATTAGCTTATCAGTTCAATTAATTAATTAACTAATTAATTAATTAATTAGGTTAACTCCCAGGATGTAGATGTTCATCAGGAATCTGGTGAGTTGTTTTTTAGCAAACCAATGACGGGATTTTTATTTTATGGTTCAACTGCTGATTAAAAATTGAACAGGTGGAACTGGTGCCACGCCCTCAGTGGGTCATGTGATCGGTAGCCATAGTAACACTAGTAACACCAAAGCATGTGCAGGTGGAGGTGCTGCAGGGGGAGATCTCGGAGTTGGCCAAGAGGCTTCGCTACGAAGTGTCGGTCCTAGCGCGCGAGAGAGGCTGGACGGACAAACAGTGCCGGTGAGGACAAACAAACAAACACATAAACACAAACAACAAACACTGTTGAAAACAAAAACAGGTGCAAACAAACACGCTAACACAAAGAATGAATATAAACACAACAAATAAACAACACACAATCAGACTTTCACTCCAGAGTCGGATCCTCAGCTGATTTCAGGCCTGGTTCTCAGGTTCTAAGTAGGTCTGGTTCTCAAAGGTTCTGGTTCTAAGGGAGTTCTGGTCTATGTTTTGGGTGCAGGGTCCAGTTCCATAAGAACCTTCGTCGTCTGGTCTCTCAGCTCTACATCCGGGACAACTGCCACCCTTTCAAAGCCAGTGTCCTGATTTGGGTCCAGTTGCCCCTCTGGGTCAGTTTTTCTCTGGCTCTTCGGAACCTGAGCACGAGCCAGTCAGGTAGGACCTCTGATCCAGCTGATTCTGTTTCGGTTCTGGTTTGGCCCCCTGACCCGTTGGTTCTGTGTAGCCCTGCAGGGTGAGCTGGCGGCAGGAGGTGCTTTGTGGTTCCCTGACCTCACTGTACCTGACTCCACCTGGATCCTGCCGGTGTGTCTGGGTCTCACCAACCTGGTCATCGTGGAGGTCTGTCTGTGAGCTGAAATATGGTCACATGACCTGTGATGTCATCATGCTAAGTGGGCGGGTCCTCTTCTTCTGCAGGTGTTTTCTCTGCAGCGAGTCAGAGCGGCGTCACGTTTCCAGCGCCTGGTTCTGAACGGGATCAGAGGCTTCTCCGTTCTGATGATCCCCATCGCTGCCACCGTCCCGTCTGTGAGTTCAGAACCGTTTGGTCAGAACTGCTTAATGGGTCAGTTGTGTTGAGGTAACTGGTTTTTAGACCTGAATCAGAATCTGAGGCAGGACCAGGACCTGACTGCAGTTCCTGATTCACTGCATTAAACTGGTCCAGAGTCAGCCATACGGGTTCTGGCCCATCTCAGTGTGGGTCTGCTTGGACCGCTTCTTCTGGTTGGGTTCTGGGTGGGTTTGGGCTTGTTCGGATCACCATGCTTTTATTTTGAAGTTCTAAGTCTTCTGTCCCCTTGGTTCCCCACACAGTGCATGGCTCTGTACTGGTTATGCTCCAGTCTGGTCGGGTTCAGCCAGAACCTCCTCCTTCGATCACCGAAGATTCACAGACTCCTGCGACTGCAGACTCGGCGATCCAATTCTCCTTACAAAGACCTGCTGGCCGCCTTCATGGCCAAGTACTGCAAGTAGATACTATGGAGTACTGCAGAGTACCATGGAGTTCTTTAAGAGCTCTACAGAGACTGAGTTCTGAAGGGTTCTAGAGGCTGCAGCCGGTTCTGCAGGGAGAAGCTGATCCAGTTTTACAACAAGAAGAACGATGAAGAGTTTCCTGTTTTGTTTAAATCAGTTCAAACGTCAAAGTTCTGTTTGTTTCTTCAGAGTTCTGACGGTTGACTGGAACATGAAGTTCTGTTTGATGAAGGAATGTGACCTCCGTTCCATAAAAAGTCCCCGAAACAAAAACAGGAAGGGAATCACGTGACCTCCTCTCGGGAAGTTTCCTGTTATTCCCACGGACTGAGTCTGGACCGGTCTGGTACCTGAAACTGGATCAGACGGAGAACTTCACCAGAACAAAGATGCGGTCGGGTGCTCTAATCTGTAATCTGTGGAGAACAGTTGTATAATTTTAAAATCAGCTTTATGGTTTATTTATCCAACATCAAATAAAAACAAAATAAATACAATAAAAACTTTTGTTTAGAGTGATTTCTGATTCTGCTCGTGTCAGACAAAGTTTCTGAAACTGAGGAACTGGGTTTTCTACTGATCAGATCACCTCATCTTCTGATAATAGAAGTTTTATAATAAAGACAAAAATAAAGTCATTAAAAGCTCATTCAGAGTCTGGTCGATTAAATCCAGACTCTTCCTTTCAAAAGGTTTTATTTTTGACTTCATCTGATTTTACTCGTTTTTGGACCCGAACATTTTTAGGAGAACCCTGACCTCTGACCTCAGTCTGACACAGAAAAAAGTTCTGAAACTGGGATGAGCTGGAGTGTGGAGTGGTTCTGGTGGGATCTGATCTGCTCTGGGATCAGTTCTCCGTGAGGCGGAGCCAGCACCTCCCAGGCGGACTCAGACCTCAGTCCAGATTAGATCTGATCCAGTTCGGACCGCCATGAAGTCCCGTTGCAATCTTCTGTTCCTGGTTCCGATCCTCTGGTCGCTCGTTCCGGTGCTGACAGCAGGTCCGGGCTGCGGTCCGTGTGACCCGGGTCAGTGTGCTCCGCTCCCTGTCCAGGGCTGCCCCGCCGGATCCCTGCGGGACTCGTGCGGGTGCTGCTCGGTCTGCGCAGCCGCTGACGGTGAACTGTGCGGGGGGCGCAGTGCGGGAACGCGCCGCTGCGGGTTCGGATTGGAGTGCGTGAGAACGAGGGATGTCAAGAAGAGCAAGATGGGCGTGTGCTCGTGTAAGAACAACTTCGAGGTCTGCGGAACCGACGGAACCACGTACAAGAACAGCTGCGCGCTGAAGACCGCGAGCCTGGCAGCCCAGAAGGAGGGCAAAGAACCCATGAGCGTCCAGAACAAAGGCCGCTGCGCCGCAGGTGAGGCTGAACACACGGGTTTGACTGACTGCAGGTGAGACCACCTGACCACAGGTGAAGCTGACTACAGGTGAGACC